AAACTTTATGACTCCGTTTGATATTATCAGTGGGACTTTTGCTGCTGCATCACTGATGACAGAGATTTTACATCAGGTTTATATTTCGTGACCTTCAGAGATATGCACGAGCTACTACTTTCATCCGTCAGGCTACTCCTATTACGAGACTTAACAAAATTCATCAGTGAGAACAAAGATTCACAAACATATGTGGATGAAACCAAAACACTGGTTGGATCTAGGAAGGCAGGGAGAGTTAAGGCAGAGGCATAGAAATTGCTCTTCCCCTCTCTCGTCAATCCATGTCTATGGTCTTTAAGATAACTTGTTATGTAAAATTATTTATTTATCTAAGATGCACCTACACTGACTTTATCTGAAAAATAAAAAGTCGATATTAAGAAAAAAATTGTAAATGGAAGATTATAAGAGAGGGTTTCGCATGCCAGCAAAAGTTACTGGCGTGCCATGTTTGGCACGTGTGCCAGGGGTTGCCCACCTCTGCATTGGACCCACCCAGATAATCCAGGATAATCTTTCTGTTTTCAAGTTAGCTGTTAACTCCCTTCTGCCATACAACATGACAAGTTCTAGAGACTAGGACATGAGCATATGTACTGGGGTATTATGCTGCCTGCCGCCATATATATTTTGAAAATATTCTATCTGGAAAGGACTTTGGTAAATGTGAAAAATGGAAAATCAGAATTCTTCCTCACTCCTTGAAACAAAGGTTTATGGTACTACTGGATAATTCCTAGCAATATTTTTTTCCTGGGAAAGCAGCAACACCTAGTGTCTCTCCATATAAATTTCAACAATAAACATAAAATGTCCTGTAATTAAAAAGGTAAACTAGAAGATGTAGCTCAGTGACTGTGGTGTAGAAATGACATTCTCACTACTCACAGAGAGCGAGGGATGTTGATTCTCCGTATGTTCTTTAGACTTACTATGAGCCCCCACATCCATGCAAATATCCAGAAGTACTTTAAGTAATTCTGTTTGGGGCATGGCACCACACTTGGTTCTCTGATAGATGCAGAATGATAAGAACATCCTCAAGTTGGTTCCAGTCTTATTGGGCAGATGAGAAACACCTGGCAATTAAAGCATATGTACCCAGTATGGCCAGCATGTCTCAGTGGCTGAGTGTTGATCTATGAACCAGGAGATCATGGTTCGATTCCTGGTCAGGGCACATGCCTGGGTTGGGGACTTGATCCCCAGTGTGGGGCATGCAGGAGGCAGCTGATCAATGGTTTTCTCTCATCATTGATGTTTCTATCTCTCTATCTCTCTCTCTTCCTCTCTGAAATCAATAAAAAATATTTAAAAAATCTTAAAGCATATGTACCCATTTCCAAAATACTGAGGACTGATAATAATGCTTAGTTGTACATACATCAAAATTACAAAAGAACACTGATTGAAGCAGCAGAGTTGTTTATTTTTTGCTCATATGAAAGAATTGGTGCAGCCACAGTCTGGCAGTTCCTCAAAAAGTTAAACATAGCCCTAGCTGGTTTGGCTCGATGGGTAGAGTGTCGGCCTATGGACTGAAGAGTCCCAAGTTTGATTCTGGTCAAGGGCACATACCCTGGTTGCAGGCTCGAACCACCGCCGATCAGTAATTCTCTTCATTGATGTTTCTATCTTTCTCTCTCCCTTCCTCTCTGAAATCAATAAAAATATATTTTTTAAAAAAGATTACCCTCCGTTATTTTTTAAAGTTAAACATAGAGTTACCATATGATCCAGCAATTCTGCTCCTAGGTAGATTTACAAGAGAATTGAAAACATAATTCCATACATAACATGTACACATAATTCCATACATAATGTTTATAATAGTATCTAAATATATAAAGAGCCAGGGGCCATTGCAACCAGCAGGGGAGTAGTGAGGAATGACCAAACGACTGAACAGCAGGCTGTGTGGGGTGACCAGGCTGGCAGGGAGGGCAGTGAGGGGCGATCAGGACAGCAAAGGGGGGCAATGAGGGGTGACCAGGCCAGCAGGGGGCACAGTGTGCAGCAACCAGGCTGGCGGGGGGGGGGGGGGGTAGTGAGGGGCAACCAGGCCAGCAGGGGGGAAGTTGGGGGTGACGAGGCTGGCAGGGGGTGCAGTTAAGGGTGACCAGGCCGGGAGAGGGGGGCAGTTGGGGGTGACCAGGTCAGCAAGGGGGTGCAGTTAAAGGCAACCAGGCCAATAGAGGTGGGTAGTGAAGGGCGACCAGGCTGGCAGGGGGGCAGTTGGGGGTGACCAGGCCTGCAGGCGGGTCAGAATGGGGTGACCAGACTGGCGGGGGGGGGGCAGTTAGGGGCGACCAGGCTGGCAGGTGGGGCAATTGGGGGCAACCAGTTTGGCAGGGGGCCAGTTGGGGTCAACCAGTCTAGCAGGCAGAGGCAGTTAGGGGTGATAAGGCTGGCAGGGGGGACAATAGGGGCGATCAGGCAGGCAGGCAGGTGAGCAGTTAGGAGCCAGTGGTCCCAGATTGTGAGAGGAATGTCCAACTCTCAGTTTAGGCCCCTCAGTTTAGGATCGGGCCTAAACCAGCAGTCGGACATCATCTGAAGGGTCCTGGATTGGAGAGGGTGCAGGCTGGGCTGAGGGGAACACCCCCCCCCCCCCAGCCGCGCACGAATTTCGTGCGCCGGGCCTCTAGCTCTAGTCTATATAATAAAAGCTTAAGTGATTATTACGGCGCAATGACTAGAATGACCAGTTGCTATGATGTGCACTGACCACCAGGGGGCAGATGCTCAATGCAGGAGCTGCCCCATGGTGGTCAGTGTGCTCCCACAGGGGGAATGCTGCTCAGCCAGCAGCTGGGCTTAGGGCTGGTGAGTGCAGCAGCGGTGGCAGGAGCCTCTCCCGCCTCCGTGGCAGTGATAAGGAGCAGTGAGCAGGCGGATGGTAAGGAGCAAGGGCTCCCGGACTATGAGAGGGTGTAGACCTGGCTGAGGGACCCCCTCCTCCCCCAGTGCATGAATTTTGTGCATCAGGCCTCTAGTTTTTTTATAATAGTGAAATTGTGGAAACAACCCAAATGTCCACCAACTGATAAATGGATAAACAAAATATGGTATATCTGTGCAGTGGAATATTATTGAACCATAAAAGTACTAATACATGCTGTAACATGGAAACACCTAGAAAACATTGTGCTATGTGAAAAATAACAACCAGACACAAAAGGCAACATATTGTATGATTCCATTTATATGAAATATTTAGAATAGGTCAATCCATACAGACAGAAAGCAGATGAGTAGTTGCTAGGGGCTGGGGAGGTAAGAATGGGATTGACTGCTAATGAGTACAGGGTTTATTTTAGGGGTGATGAAATGCTCTGGAATTAGTGATGATGGTTGAACAGCTTTGTGAATATATCCAAGACCTTAAAAACCATTCCAATGTACACTTTAAATGAACAAATTATTGTGTATGTGAATAATCCTATCTAATAAAAGCCTAGGTGGCATCATGCCCTCACACAATGTCATCACAAGTTGGCTGCCACAAGATGGCCACCCTCACGTCATCACAACATGGATGCCACAAGATGGTCAGCAGAGGAGGGCAGTTGTGGGCGATCAGGCTGGCAGGGGAGGGGAGGTGGAGGCAAACAGGCCAGCAGGGGAGAGCAGTTGGGGGTGACCAGGCCTGCAGGGGAGGGCAGTTGGGAGTGATCAGGCTGGCAGGGGAGCACTTAGGTGTCAATCAGGCTGGCAGGCAGAAGTGGTTAGGGGCAATCAGGCAGGCAGGCAGGTGAGCAGTTAGGAGCCAGCAGTCCTGGATTGTGAGAGGGATGTCTGACTGCTGGTTTAGGCCCAGATTGGAGAGGGTGCAGGCCAGACTGAAGGATATCCCCCTCCCATGCACGAATTTCGTGCACTGGGTTTCTAGTATCTCAATAATGTTACTGAAAAATACTAGAACTAAGGAGGCAAAAATGGATGATGAATAAGCAGAGGGAATGAAGCAGAGATTGGAAAAGTACCTTCTATTAGTTTTTTTTTCCCCCTTCTATTAGTTTTTGAACTCCCCACCCCACCAGTTCCATCTCCAGGCCCCAGAGCGATCACCCCTTTCTTTCTCGTATTAGATCTCTTTCCTCTCCCCTGTCCCTACTACAATAAGCAGATTGCTCACTACGTGAGGCTGATTTGGCCCCAGACAAGGAGCGAACAGGTGGTTATGATCCTTATGGAGATAAAATGGAGAACATACTGATGGCCCTTGGGCTAGTCACCTTCCCTCCTTCTCCTCATTAACACACGTTCTGATGTCTCCCTCACACCACGGGGCTTTATTCTTTTTGTTTGTTTGTTTGTTTGTTTTTTGTTTTGTTTTGTTTTTCTTTCTTATGATTTCCTTTATTATTTTTAAATTATAGCTGACATTCAATATTATATTTTTTATTATGATTTTCCTAACATTTTCTTTTCTCTAGCTTATTTCATTATAATACAGTAAATAATACTTATAAGATACAAAATATGTGTTAATAGGCTGTTTACAGTATATTATTGGTAAGGGGTCTGGTCAACAGTAGGCTATTAGTAGCTAAATTCTGGGAGAAAACAAAAGTTATATGCAAATTTATTTTATTGTTTTGCCTCAAAAAGTGACATTTATTCAAAGGAAACGAAAAGAAAATGACAAGATAGCCATCCCTTGGCTCCATTCCCTCTACCCTCCTGCTCCTCCTCAGCCTGCCAAGGACTGAGAACCCTGACTGGGATAAGGTAGCAGGCCAGCCCCTCTGAGATGAGGTCAGCAACATTGAGGGGCATCTCCTCAATGGAGGTGTTGTAGAGTCTTCTTGCCCTAGCTGGTTTGGCTCAATGGATAGAGCATCGGCCTGTGGACTGAAGGGTCCCGGGTTCAATTCCGGTAAAGAGCATGTACCTTGGTTGCAGGCACAATCCCCAGCACTGGTCAGGGTGTGTATGGAGGCAACCAATCGACGTGTCTCTCTCTGTCTCTCCCCAATTCTTCCACTCTCTTTAAAAATGGAAAAATATCCTCCAGTGAGGATTAACAACAACAAAAAGTCCTCCTGTTTTCTTCCGTTACCATATTAATAGCCACACCCTTATGGCCAAAAGGTCCACCCCAACTGATTCTGTGGATATAGTTTTCCCTGGTGGTGGGAAGGTCATAGTTGATGACTAAAGAATCCTGCTGCACATCAATGTCTCTGGCCATCAGGTGTGAAGTAATCCATACTCTGCTAGAGTGGAACTCCCTCATTATTACAATTCATTCCTTTTGGTCCACATATCCATGCATAGCAGAGACAGTGAAGTCTCAGGTGTGCATCTTCTCAGTGAGCCAATCAACTTTTCTTCCAGTGTTGATAAAGATGACTGCCTGGGCGATGGTGAGGGTCTCATACAAGTCACACAACATGTACAGCTTCCACTCTCCTTTCCCACTGATGAAGAATCGGCAGATACCCTCCACAGTCAACTCTTCCTTCTTGACGAGAATCCGAATGGGGTCCCTCATGAACTTCTTGGTCACCTCAGGCACATCGGAAGGCACTGTAGCTGACAGTGATTCCACCTGGGTGCTGCTGTTGAGCTTTTGGAATATGTCATAGATCTGGTCCTTGAACCCATGGCTTAACATTTCATCAGCTTCATCTAGTACAAACCTCTTGATGTATTTGGGAGACAGGTATCTGTGGTTAAGCATATCAAACACATGGCCTGGGGTGCCCACAATGATATGGGGAGCTTCCATCTGCAGCTTCTGCAACTCAGCACACACACTGGTACCCCCAAGGCAGGCAGGAGGCCACCATGTAATCTCTTAAAGCCATGACTACCTTCTGTATTTGCTGTGTCAATTCTCCTGTGGCTGCCAGGGCCAAGACCTGGGTGGCCTTTAGATCCAATCCAGTCTGTTGCAGAATCCATATGGGAAAAGTGACTATTTTCCCATCCCAGATTGGGCTTGAGTGATCACATCATAACCCTGTTCATAATTTAAACGTTGAATTTCTGAAATTTCTTTTGGCTTTGCTTCAAGCATGTAATCTCCTAAATATTCCATCAGCTGTTCAGCAGTTATGATTTCCATCATGGGTGGAAGTTTCACCTTCCAGGCCAGAAGCAAAACATTGAGGATGGCCAGCAAAGGGCAGGGTCCGTTCTCATTCTGGGTGATGATGGGTGTGTGCTCTTCCTTCCACTGGATCCACTTGATGTGATAGACAGATTGTCCCGGGAAGCGTTCCTTGGAGGCCGCGAGCACCTGAGCTGCCTCCCCCTCCTCCTCCTCCTCCCCTCTGCACAGGGGCACAGCCCCGGGCAACACCGCCGCGGCACCCTCTTCCCCCTCCTCTTCTTCCTCCTCCTCCTCCTCCTCCGGGACCCTGCTCTCAGCTCCTTCCTCACTATTGAACTCGGAGCTACTGGGGAAAGAATGGAGGTTAGAGAACGACCCCAGGGAGTCCAGGCTCGGCGATTCCCCGGCAGGGCTCGGGTCCTGCAACTGCTGCTGAGGCCGCCGGCGCTGCTGGGCCCCTCGGAGCCCGAGGCCGCTAGCTCGGGCTGGCAGGTGCCTGCGGGATCAGGCCAGGCGCCCGCGTCTCCGGCGGCACCCAACCCCTGGCCCGCTCCGGCCTCGGCTGTCTCCGGGGAGGCGGTCACCTTGCGCTGCCCTCTCAGAGGCACCTTCTGGGCAGCGGGACTCTCCAAGTCGCTCTCTTACAAGTCCAAGCCGCGGAAAGAGCTGCAGGGTCCGGGAACCCGAGAAGAGCTGGCGGGAGAAACCGTGTCCGGGAGGCTCCTCCCGGCGGCCGCCGCCCCTGCCCATTCCCGCCGCTGCCCTCCGCCGCCCGTGCTTCGGGACCATCCCCAGCAGCGAGCCTGGCCTCCGGTAGCCCTTCCTGCGCAGGAGCTGTCTCTGGCGCTGGCCCGTGGCCACCCCGTGTTCTAGCGGTTGCAGGCTCTCGGGCCGCTCTCCATACCCAGCCGCCCGCCCCTCGCTCTAAAGACACCGCGGCGGGTTCTCCTCACCCAGCGCCTCCGACGCCATGACAGCGACTTTTTTGTTGTTGTTGTTGTTAAATCCTCACCCAAAGATATTTTTCCATTGGTTTTTAGAGAGAAGAGAAGGGAGAGAGACAGAGAGAAACATCGATGTGAGAGAAGCACATCGATTGGTTGCCTCCCTCAGGCGCCCCGACCTGGGCCAGAAATTGAGCCTGCAACCGAGGTACGTGCCCTTGACCAGAACCAAACCCAGGACCCTTCAGCCCGCAGGCCAGTGCTCTATCCATTGAGCCAGACTGGCTAGGGCACCCGGCTTTATTCTTGATCTGTTTCCTGTTCTTCTAGTGCTGTATAGACCAAGGTACTTTTTTTTTTCTTACAGGACAAGACACTACTCCTCGCACCACTGTAACAGTTATTTCACTTGTAATAGAACTTGATCGACAGTGCAGGTTGGATCAGGCTCCATGCCTTCCCCTCTGACTGTCCTTCCCATGTACATGGATTCCTAGGTGGTGCAGAGATGCGTGGCGGCTGCCTGAGATGGCAGAGTCATTGTACAAGATAGTGTCCCAACTGTCACAGCCAGAAGAAGTGGAAAGAGACGTGACAACTAAATGTCATATGGCATCCTGGCTGGGATCCTGGAGCAGAAAAAGGACATTAGGTAAAACGAAGAAAACATAAATAAAATACAGACTTCAGCTAATAATAATGTATCAATATTGGTTTATTAATTGTGACAAATGTGCCATACTAAAGTAAGATGCTCATCACAGGGAAAACTGGGTTTGGAGTACAAGAGAACTCTTATTGTTTCTGAAATTTTTCTGTAATTGTAAAATTATTCTAAAATTGAAACTTTTTAAACCTCCCCACCCCCCGCATATAGTGTCCCCACCACCATCAGAGCGGACCCTTTTAAAAGAGTGTCATCTAATATGCCTGCTTTGAAGGGTGGTTATGGACACCACCTGTATCCTCAGGGCAGCCTGGGAAAGTCCCCTTTGCCCTCTCTCTATAAAAGATAGAGTTTTAACGCTTGGGGGAGTGGATCGGAAGATGAGGGCCCTGGAGCAGCAGCGCACATTCTGGTCCTAGGGTGAGTGAGGCCTTCAAGCACAGTGAGTGACAATGAGTGAGCCTGTGCAAGCCTGGCCCATGTCCAAAAGGCTAACAGGGAAAAATCAATCCGTGAAGGGAGTTGAGGTAATTTTGCTTCTGGGGCAGAGCCCAAAGGCAGGAGCTGACAGCGTAGCCAGCCTTTGTGCTAAACTTGAGATTTTATCTGAGAACAAGCAGGGGCTGAGGGGTATACACCACGCAACTGGTTGGATCAGGTCCTGGGATCCCCGGCCTCTGGCTGTGCACAACGGGCCAGCACACATCTCCTGACAGATTGCTAAAGGCAGACAGACAGCCTGGCCAGACAAGCTGCTTCTGGAACTACTGCCTTCAAGCCAGGCTGACCCCTTTGAAGTACTAGTAGTCTTTTCCTGTCTCTAACCTCCACCCTGCAGCTGAGTTCTGCCCTCCCTTTCTGCAATGACACCCTCCTGGCCTAGCTCTGGCTTCGCTCCAGCAGGCTGATGAGCCTACAACCTCCCACCTGACCCACATCCGGAGTCCTGCGCCTTGAGGCCCTCAGGCTTCCACCCCACCCGCTCCCTGCTCACAGTAACTGCCTTGGGCCAGAGTTCAGGCCAGCAAACACCTTTCTAAAATTATAAGAAAGATAAAAGTCAACAGGGGTCCAGGGGCCTTTTTTTTTTTAAATTTAAAATGTTTATGGATCCAGAAGTGGGCTGGGGAGTCAAGAAGTAGGATGAGAAGTCACACAATAATATTTATTCTCAAATGTGGCATGAAGTTTTCTAATTTCAGCATCATATTGCTAATGATCTTCAAGTCCTGACACTAGAGGCTCAGTAGTGTCCCGATGAAGATGCTTGGTTGGATAAAACTGGCTGTTTCCCCTGGAAAGTGATGCCCAGTTTGTTCTTGAGACATCCAGTGATGATTAGAAGTATCCCCCTAAGCAGCTCTAGGCTCAGCTCTGGCACTCACATCTTAATTAGGTGGGTTTTTAGTTATCCATTTTTTTCTTAACAGAGTGTTTTGTTATTTTATGCAATTAGAAGGAGGTAGCTCACAACAATCATCACATGGCAGAAGAGACAGGACAGAAAAGATCATTAACTCTACCTTACTGTACAAGTCCCAGCAGTAATTAAGAATGTACAGAAACAGCACAGCTTCAAGTATTTAGTTGACAATCTCTAATAACAACACCAGCAGTGTGGTGCACTTCATAAGAGTAAAAGTGATTAGCTTGTATATAACCTAATCATTGTAAAAATGTAATTCTCATAACAACATTTGCTATTACTGTTTTGTAAATTTTTTAAAATATATTTTTATTGACTTCAGAGAGGAAGGGAGAGATAGAAACATCAATGATGGGAGAGAATCATTGATTGGTTGCCTCTTGCACGCCCCCTATTGGGGATCGAGCCCACAACCCGGGCATGTGCCTTTGACCCGAATGGGATCCGGGACCCTTCAGTCCGCAGGCCGATGCTCTATCCATTGAGCCAAACCGGCTAGGGCTGTTTTGTAAATTTTGATACATCAAATTGTGATGCAGCACAGAAGCCAAAATAAGTGTTTCCTCCGTGCAGTCCGTCCTCTGGCAGCAGGTGGTGTGGGTGGAGTGGGGCAGAACCCAATTTTCAATAAGTTCTTATTTTTTCATTACCTGGATGAATTCTAGGAATAAATGCTGCAGAAGCTAATTCTTTCAGGAGAGGAGTGGTTCTAGAAAGATGATTAAGATTCCCATGAGGTATTAAGGGGGATTTTAAAATTTCCATTTATCAAAAAATTCAACTTAAACATTTTTCGGGCTACTTGAATGTGTGAGGACGTGGGCCAGATGCTAGATACAAAGGTAGTGCGACAAGGCTTCTGCCTCAGGAGCTGCTTTCTAACCCTGGATCACCAGTCACTGATGTCCCTTCCCCCCGGCGCACTTGGTCACTGGCTAGAGATTAGGCGTGGTCATGTCTCTTATGTTGACCTATAGGAACTCTTGTGTGATTCCTTGACTTCCCCATCCTCCTCCCAACAAGTGACCAGTGAGTTTTCTTTTCTTTTTTTTATAAAGAAAGCCATTTTATTATTTTTTTAAAAAAACATTTTTTTTTAATTTCAGAGAAGAAGGGAGAGGGAGAGAGAGATAGAAACATCAATGATGAGAGAGAATCATTGATCAGCTGCCTCCTGCACGCCCCCTACTGGGGATCAAGCCTGCAACCTGAGCATGTGCTTGACTGAAATGGAACCCTGGACCCTTCAGTCTGCAGGCTGACGCTCTATCCACTGAGCCAAACCTGCTAGGGCGAGTGAGTTTTCTTTTTAACTGCATCAAATTTAGCCCATCCTGCCTGTTATAGAAAGTAAGTTAGACTTGCCACCACCCCTGGTGATGGACTGTCCGCGAGATGACATACGCAAAGGCACAGTGGTTGGCATGCAATAGGCCTCAGTGAAAGGTACTTTTTTCTCCCTTTCCCATTTAGAATCTCATGAAAAATGGGAATTCTTATTTATCAAAATAAAGCCGAATCCATGTGTATTTTCACTATAGTAACATCGAGAACTTTTTACACAAGAGATTTCTTCATTTGAGAATTGGATAATAGCAGGGACGATTTCATAGTTATCACTGGAGTCTGCAAATTGTCTCCCAATATTTATTCTCCTCCCTCAGTAATAGCATCTCAGTATTTAGG